CCCAGCTCTGTTGTGAGTTAGTGCTTTAATGAACTTGTCAACTCATTTCTAAAGCGAGAGTGAAGCAGGTATGCCTCAATTCCTTTTGATATTAATAGCAATTACCCTAAGCTTTGAGTGCTCTTCTCTGTAGACAGCTATTAAAACAAATGTTATGGCCTCAATATTTAATATACCACAGAAGAAACTCTTGTAGGTGCAGCTGATACCTTGTATTATTTTAGCTGTGTGTTTCATTTGCTGGTATGGTATTTTCTGCAAAAATCATACTTGCATTTAATTGATGAACACATACATAATGAATTGCTTGTGCACAGGATACTGCTGTTTCCACGCTTGAGTTTTTGAATACTTGAGTGATTAAGTTAGGGTGAAGAAGTCCTGGGCATGCTTTTTAGTACAGTCTAAAAAATCCCACCAACTCTGAGGGTTAATCCTTAGTCTGACGCATTTCTTGCAGTCTCTCCTACTCCATCAGGTCATCCCTCACTTTGGAGATACACTGCAATAGAATCTCCTGGAGCATTTGCTGCCCTGAGTGTGCCCTTTTCCAAAATGAGAGAATTGGGAGACAGAACTGATCTTGACATCTCTAGTGATGAAAACTGAAATGAGAAAATAATTTAACACGCGCTGGGGGGAGGGAAGGAGAAGCTGTAATGTGTATTCCTGCTGATTAAGATCCCCAGTGTGCTGGTATTCAATATTGCTGAACTGCTTGAAACATGGAACAGTCCTGTCAGAGGCATTCAGAAAGCTAAGCTGAGCACAGATGTAAGTGTATGCACATTGCAGGCTTAGTTCTTGTCCAGGTTTTGAATCCTACATTTTTAAAAGTAAAGTGCAAGTCAGCTTTCAAAGGCTGCTGAAATATTGCCCTGCAACATGAGGAACACAAACACTGACTGTGTCTGTAGCATTTTATGACATACTAAGGTTGGATTTCACGTGTACTTCAACTCTTCCAAGTTAAAGTGCGTGCTGCTTTGTCCATATCTGATTTTTTTAATCAGGTTAATATTTGTTAGATTGCATTAGTCCTTAATAACTTAATACAGAAAAGAGTCAGAGCCAGCTCTTATAGTCTTAATAAGCTTCATCTACAGTTTTTGAAGTGTTTGACTTGCTCACTGTAAGTAAGTTTTACTATTTCAGTTGGCAGCACCAGGTCTCTACAGCTGTTTTTTTGCTCCGGTTCTGATTTACTGTTAGCAGGTGTGCTGCTGTCTGAATGCCTGTAACACCTCTGCTCCTTCAGCATAAGGGAAGGAAAGCCAGTTTTCTGTTTACACAGTGGCCTCTGTGTAACGTAGGATGTGCGAGTGCAGCAAGGACTGTTATAATTCTGAGCTTTTGAAACTTGGAGCTGGGATGTTGCGTATGAAGGACGTAAAGATTAACCTAAATAATGCATTTCAGAAGATTTAGAGTGATTTCACTTAACACTGTAGAATAACCATGTTATAAATGTATTAGGATTTTCTTTGTACTTTTCCATGTCCTCCCGAAAAGGAGATGCTGCATTTCACGACTTTTATCCTGATGAATAAATTATAATGGAGTAAGGTTGTTGCTGTATTCAAAAAAAAAAATGCATTTAATCTTTTCTCCACTGAACCCATATTCCTTTTGTAGCATTCGTTCTGTTGTAGCGAACGCATTCTTTGATCTTCAGGAGCAGAGCGGGACTGCATTGTTGATCACGCTTCTGTGAATTCATTGCCCTATGTAGAAGAACTGCGTGGTAATGGAAAACAATTTTTCAGATAAATTCTCATTTGTCTTGCTTTGAGCTTCCTGAGTTCTCACTTAGTGTTCTCCCCAAATGCAAGAATCTTACGTGCAGGTCTTGAATGACAGCTGGGAGGCTGAGCAATAATTTTTTTGGAATGGCAATCATTTATCTAAATAGATTTTTCTGATGGAGGTGCGACTCAGCTATTGGGTTCCTATTATTTTAATTGGAAAGGAAAAATCAAAGATGTTTGACAAGTTCAAGTGAGTTTGCTACTAGCTCTTCCAAACACAGCAAAGCAAGAGTAAGCCAGATCTCTGGTACAGATACCTCCTGCTTGACCTGAGAATGTGGCCATTCTTAAAGCAGAACAGCTGAACACAGGAGTTGTACTCTGTGCGTTGTGGGGGTGGTGCTCAGCCTTCCAAACAGCCGCTCAAGACTGGATGTGAGATTGCATTTTGTACGTGGAAAGGTAGTGATGTGATGGCACCGGTTCATACTTGTATGACGCATGTGAACACACCACATCTCTCAAGGGACAACTTGGTTTTGAAATGAAAATAGGAAGAGTACAAAGTCTTGCTATTGGTCTGACAAATTTTCTTTGGTTTAGAGTACCTCAGCAAAAATACCAAGTGTGCCAAAATGTGCAATGTAGTGAATGTACGACTGTGCCAAGCCAGGCTGTCACTTGTGGAACGTGCTTCTTTGTGTTATGTGCATGCCCACACACTTTACTTCCAATTAATTAATCACAATTACGAATATACTTTGACACTTCTACTTTTCCACTTGTGAATACTCAGGGTACTTGTTCCAACATGTTGGTTCAGCACTGTTTTGCTTATCAGTATTGTGAATGATAACTTCAGGTAAAGCCACCAGGTAAGACCTAGAAGACATCCCAGCTAGCAAAAGGGATGGGGTGCTCGCCAACTGTACCCTGCCGAGTGTAAAATAATACTGAAGGCCTTTGAACAGTCTTAACTGCTTTCTGTTTTTTCTCTTATTGTGGTTCATGCTGATTTTTGAGAAGGTTCTGGGTTTGATATTAAATTTGCCTTGGGAGCATTAAAATTCTGTAGTCATCCCATCTGAAAGTCAAAGTTTGTGTGTCAGAATCCCCCTTCAGCAGCACTCAAAATGGGCTGCCAGTGGGTGTGTCATTCCCAGACAGAGCATTTCAAGTACAGGTTTATCAATAGTAATCACTAATGGAAAGAAAGAGACATCAATTCGATTGGTCTTGGCCTAAATAAAATGTAAACTGCACTGTAAATTGAAAATCTTGAATAGCACGAGTCTCTTACAACTAAACACCTAAAAGAGAATTCAGGGGGAAGACTGAGGTTTGTTGGCTGTACCTGGCCTTCCCAGTCTGAATCTTTGCTCTGTGGAAATGCAGAACAAGAGCTTAACCACTGAGGAGCTGGTTGGTATTCATGAGGAAGTTGGGAAAAGCACTTTAGAACATGGGAGCCTGTATGCTTTGCTGGGAGTTTATAAGCAGTTTTGATTTTGTAGTCAACTGTGTGATCAGTAAGTCATTGCAGGAGTGAATTCATCTGGTTAGCCACGCTTCTTGCCAAATGTATTTTCTGTATTTCTGTTTGTAATTAAAAAGTAACTCCCTCCAAGCTTTTTTGACCTGCCTAGAAGCATTGCAGGGGCAGGGCTGGCTTTGCTTTAAGAACGGACTGCCCTGAGCTGTACACCTAGCACGCTAAATTGAGATTCCTCAAGTTACCTCTGTATGAATAAATAGAATGTGATTTTGGTGAAAAATGTTGAGGTCACAATTCCTGTACTTTACAGAAGTTGTGGTAATAAGGGTTAGTAATTAATGCTGCCTTAACGATGGCATTGCAGCATTGCCATCACTGGATTGAAAATGTGTATTAGCTCTATTGGGAGCACAAGCTCAAGGTCCATATGTGTTTCTTGAGTTAACTTAGTGAGCATTACAGAATAATATAAGAAAGAAATCACAAATGTTTCAGTTGGGAAGTAAATGTAAATTGTAGAGGCACCAAAATAAAAATGTTGTGGACATGTTACAGTGCTTTAAGAAATCAGTGCTTTCCACATATGGGAGGTCCTGTGTGAACAAAACCTTTGTGTTGTTTGGGGCTGAGGAGGTTGTTTTTACCCTTTATCCTAAAAGTTGTTACAATTCGATATATCAGAAGATGTTTTTCCACCTTTTTGTCTGGGATGTGCTGGGGCAGGAGCCAGCCTCTCTGGAACCAGAGCCTTGTGCAAGGACTTAGTCATGCAGCTTTCTCTTCCTTTTCCCGTTCCCAGTCTTTATTTATAGTGCTGCAGCTCACTGGGAACCTGCTGCAAGGCAAGTGGAAAGTGAGGGCAGAAGCTCAGGTGGGTGTTACTCAAAAAGTAAAAGTCTTCATACAGTGCTGTGCTCATATTTATGACTGACGGCAGTGATGCAGACAGGGTCGAGAAAATAACACGTCAGGGAAGCCTGCAAATATTTGCACATGTGAAGTAGAATGCAGTATTTAATTTGTAGCATTGTGCAATATCATTGCTACACTGAAGTGTCCAGTGTTCTTTATAAGTCCTTTTATTCAGCATTTCGTAATGCTGTGGAGAGGTTTTTGGTGTGGCTTAGACTCGGTGTGGAAATGGCTTCTTTGTCTAATGTGTTTTGAACTAAATTAAAAAGTTATTTTCAGGTTACCCACGTTGCTCTTCGGTTCTTCATACTGAGCTCACTGAGTGAGAGCCATTCCTAAGAACAAATGCAGTCTAATTACCACTTCATTTTTAGGGCAGAGCTGTAGACTTTCTGTGCAGTGTCCCTCATAGAATGGCTTGTGCTGAAAAAGACCACAGTGACCATCTAGTTTCAACCCCCTGCTATGTTCAGGGTCACCAACCAGCAGACCAGGCTGTGCAGAGCCACATCCAGCCTGGCCTTGAATGCCTGCAGGGATGGGGCATCCACAGCCTCCTTGGGCAACAGGAATCTTTTCTTGCTGTTTTGTTGAAATTCAGATAGTTGCCCTGGTAGCCTACAGCTGTTCTGGGAACTGAATTCCAAGGGTTCGTGTGATATGCCATGTCAAGTAGCTGTGAATACTGGGTTAATTGGTAGCTAAATGGAAAATCACATTTCTCTAAGTTTTAAATAATCTTTTAATAACATAAAAAAAGATCTATTTGATATCGAAGGAAAGAAAATATAAAAAAGCATTAATTTTATTGTTACGCCTGTCCATAAGATCTCCACATGTTATTACATGTGCACAGTGCAGATCTTCCATTTGGAGTTGCACCCTTCCTACACAGGAGTGGAGGAGAGAAATCAAGTGGGTTTTGGTGCTGCTGGGATCATTTCCTTCTCCTGGTTTTGCTTTCATTTCTCTTCAGCACAGAAGTGAAAATCATAGGCTTTCTTGTGCTTTATTCATAATATATGAAATAAAATTTGCAAAAAGGTTTTGCCCTCCTCAGCTGCTCTGGGTTCCCTCCTTCCCCTCATTACTAATTAACCACTGTCCTCAAGCCTTCACCTGCAGGTATTCTGCTCTCAGCTTTGACATCTGTGGCTTTTTCTTTTAATGATTTGGTATTTGTTACAACTAATTTGGAAGCCCACGTGAAAATTACAGGAAGGCAGGTTTCAGAGCTGGGTCTGCGACTACTTAATAGTAATTGAATCCTTTTCTCTACTTTATCTGATGGTTGTGTAGTGTACTATTGTATCCTTACAAGGAGCTGTGAAATAATACCATGGGGCTATAAAAGGTCTGGAGAGTCTTTCTGCATTGAATTTCTCCAGCTTCACAGAAGCATAGTTACAAACTTTACCCAACTTCCAGCGTCAGCAGTGTGGCATTGAGTAGTTTAGCATGGTTCTTCCCAGCTCAGGTGGTGAGGTGAGCCATAAATACTGCTGGGCTATAATTTGGCTGACAGGATACCTTTAACTGATAACACCAGCTCTTCCCCCAGTGTCCCATTTAATCAGGATACCGTGCATGTTGACTAAGCAGAGCTTGGTCTGGCAGCCTGAACTTAGTTAGGCACGGCTCCTCTTTTAACAAAATTACTATTTTTGGTTGTGTTGGTGTCCCACACCTAGGCTGTAACCTCACAAGTTAATATGGGCTTTGCTGTCAGAACAAATAAGCACAAATGGAGAAAGCTGAGACAGCGTGGGGTGCCAGACCTTCTTCACCAACCCCCAGGGCTGCGTTCTGAAGAGCTGCCACTTAATGAAGGGCTCCTGTGCTCCTCTTATCTGGGGTGGGGGTTGGGGGAGGCAGAAGCCAGCAGTGCCTGGCAGTCCCAGCGCTGAGCAGGCAGCTGCCCTGCACTGCTGAGCTGCTGCAGCTGGGGCACTGCTGGGAGGGAACTCAGTGGGCACCTGGGTGCTGCAGCCACGCAGCTGCAGGTGAGACAGATCAGCTTGTTATCCTCGCTAGGGCAGAGGGATGGCTTATTTCCCAAAAAGGATCTTCAGTTGTTATTTTACCCTTGGCCACTAACCTTGCGATGAACGTAGAAATGCTGTAGATAAGTACCCATGTGAACGTACTAATGAGTTGCTTGCGTTGAGTGATTTGTTGTGGCATCTAACTGCTTCTTCTCTTCCTTCCTTTTTGTCACCCTGCAGTGTTCTGTGCCAAGGTCTTTGTGGCTAGGCTGCTCCAACCTGGTAGAGAGCATGTGCGCACTGAGATGCCTGCAGAGCATGCCCAGTGTCAGATGTCTCCAGGTGCCTTTCTTCTTTCTTGTTGTAAATGTTATGCGTATGCTGTTGAACTTTGTTAAACTCGTAGGACTCTGTTTAATCAAATTGTTAAGTCTGCTAAATGTTTTTTGTGCATCCTTTTTCTGAAATCTTCTACTTAACTGCATTGTAGGAGTGAACCTTAAGAGTGCTTTCTGTACAGGAGGTTCTCTGGGGGGTGGTGAGCTTTTGTGTTCTATTGCCTGTTTATGAAGTTGTGATATAAGTAGCATAGTTGTGCATGTTGCCTGCTACGTTTTGCTTTCTCGTTTAATTTAAAAAAAAAAAAAACAAACACAACAAAAACCCGCAACACAAAATGAGCTTTGCCATTTCTCTTAAATTGCTATGAACTGAATAGCCTGTAATGTTTTTGTGATTTAATTTAGGAAGGATAAGCTTTTAATTTTCTACTAAGTACAGCCCTGGTTACAGCCTTACTTTAACATTGCACATGTTTGAATGCAGGGCAGTTAGCATGGAGCCCTGCAGCTTTTGGAGTTCACAGAGTCCCTTAGCACTTCAGCTGCTGAAAGTGAGGAGCAGGGGATGGGGGTGGCTCTTACAGATGGGGAATTGCTGCTGTTGCTTTACTGGTGTGGGAGGGACTGGAAAAGATAAATAATGAAAGGGAGTTCTTTGATACCAGCTCAGTTTTGAGCTCTCAAAATATTTACCTTGGAAAGTAAATGCAGAACATGTGCATTATCTATGTGGCACTTCCTGAAGCGTTTGGGAATGTATTGTTGGTAGCAGATGTAATGATTATTTCATATTGGTAACTTCTGTAATACAGTGGCGTTGTTCAGTGGTTCGGTCTGCACAAAATGAGTATTTGTGAGACATTGCTTTTGTGAATGAGAACGTAAGCAAGCTGAGCTTTGTTTGCAGTCAGTCTGTTTCCACTCAGACACGGGGTAATGTGAATGCTTTGCCTTAGAGAGTAACAGTCTGCTTGAGAACCTCTGGCATGCAAAATGCAGCTCTGAGTTTCAAAATTAAACTTTAGGATTTCTGTTAAAATACTTTTTTTTCTGTTGAAATGTTTTATGTTTTCAGTTTTTAAGTGAAGGGGAATGAAGTTTCTAAGGTAAATGTATAGATGGATAGTAGTTCCACAGGAAGTGGTACTGCATCGTGGCCAAACCCTGGTCACAGCAGATGTTTGTAATCATGACAGTGTGGGACAGAGGGTTGGAGCTGCCCTTGAAGTTTGGGCATGCAGCTGTGTGGAACGGCCTGAGAACGAGATAGCAGCAGTTCTGCTTTTAATAACAGGCTTCTAGGTGGTGGCTGAGTGTCTTGGTTTTGTGTCTGCAGGCTGTGAGGGGGGTAAGCTGCTGGGCTGTGTGTTGGGCTGGGTGGGCTCTGTCCGGGTTGGAGTCTGGATTTCAGTCAGAGCGTGTGTGTCTGCAGGTACCAGTCTGGGAACTGGGAGGGCTTTTTATTAGTACTGAATTGAAATAATGGCAAACTTTGTTATTACGAGTGGTTTTTAACAGGTAGTTAGCTGTAAATGTAGCAGGTGCAAGCTCAGACCAGGCTGAGCATTAGATGAATTAATGCTGACTTCTGTTGGTATTATTGATTGTCGGATAAAATACAGAACTGTGTCGGTGAGTGCACTGCTGAGTACACAAAGTGTTTTGGGAAGGTGAGGCTGGAGAGCTGTCTTCAGCAGGCTGCTCACAAAGCCAGGTGTAGCCAACATCACTGCTCATAACAGTGTTCCAAAATAAAGGCCTTTATGTGTGTGTGCAGCAGTCACACTTCTTGTAGAACTGCAACCGAGGTAAAGAGTTGTTCAATTTTAGAAGCAGCTGTGAGGGATTTAAAGAGTTCTCATTTCAGGCATGTGACTCAGCCCCATGGGGAACTTGGAAGTGAAAGTGGCACCAGCTTTCTTTCCCCATTTTTTATTTTTGGCACCAGGACTTGCCTTTTGTTGCTCCTTAGCTTATAAGCCCATGTGTGGAAATGGGTAGGGCATGTCTACCTGGAGATATGTGATCAGTAATATTAGATTAATGATGATTAATAGTGAGTTTAAGGATGGAAATTGAGAAGCCCTTCAGTGGTGTGAAGTTATCAAAGCACTGTATCAGTTATCTGTGTGTTATATGTGTAAGGTAGTGAATGGTTCAAAAGAGGAAGAAATCCTAGTCTTAAACCTGGAGCTTTTGCAGTTTCTTCAGGAGGTTCTGCTCCATCTTAGCCCCTTCTAGAATATTCCAGAGTGGCCTCACACCAGCCTGGAAGAAGGAAGCTGAGGTTAGGTGTAGCAATGCCATAAATCCTAGCTGTGCTTCTAAAATCAAACTGTAGCACTCAGGCAGATGTCCTCTGGTGCCAGTAGGTTGGATGGCCGTGTTCTAAATCTTTAGCTTGAGTCATACTTTGTATTCTGTGCTTTTCTCTTGCGGAGAAATACCTGCTTATTTTGTGAGATTTTCTGGGCAGATGCCCTGCCTGAGGCAGGGAGTCGGAATCGATGATCTTTGAGGTCCCTTCCAACCCAAACCATTCTTTGAATATTTGCCCTCTTTCTGTGACCTGTTAGTGAACATACAGAGATAGATAATTTAAAAAAAACCCACAGCGTGGCTGGTGTTACTGCATGGAAAAACATGTACTGAATGCCACTTACCTGTTGAAAATACTATGGAATCTGAGGGCTTATTTCTAATCGCTGAATTGTCTTTAATAGTGTTTTAGTAACAAGGCATTCACCTTCCCATTCTGAACACACTTGGATTCAAATAGCTGCTGTTCTCATCCTATCTTTAATATAAATTTGATTGCAGGACTGAAAGCAGGCCGTTGTCTTACTTGAGTGTTCCTGCTGGTGTGCCCTTTCTTGCTCATCCTACTCACACCCCTCCAACGTGGTTTCCTTGCTGCTCCTTTTTATTTGTTGTCTGTCAGACATCAGTCTTTGTTGTCTGCAGTGTCCCTTGCTTCCTTAGCGCTCTCCCAGGGCTGTGCACCACAGGGAGGTGGCATTGGTGTGGTTCTTGCCAGAGCCCTTCCTGCTTGCACATTACAGCAGGAGTGCATTGATTTACTCCCATAACTGGAAGCTGTCTTTGCAAAAATGTCTTAAAAGCCTTTTGAATTGACCAATTCATAATTTATTACTGCTTGGAGGAACTTACAATTTGCAAGTGAAGTTATGAAGGTTAGGGCTTCAATATTCGTTTCCTTACGATGGCATACTCTGCAGAGGAAATGATTTTTGGCGATAGGGAATCTCAGTGCTATCGCAGCTGAGCGAGGGCACGAAGAAGAAAATTTATTTATTGGAAAGATACAATTTAACATGAACTTGCCAACACTTTTATTTGTTTTTCTTCGCTAATTTTGAGTTTCTGGTGTTGGCGTTTCTATTCAGATACCAGATGGAAGTATAAAAATGGAAACTAGAACCGGAGAAAATTGTATCTGAAAACAAAGAATTGATTTATCGATATGAAAACTTCAGCATCTTATTTTTGTATTGCCGTGCTGTCATTTTCACAGCACAGATTCAGACACGGTCTTGAAGCAGGATTCTTGCAATCACAACGAGTGCAGTAGGTGCATTCTGTTCAAACCTTTTCCTACGGTGTGCAAAATCACAAATGGGAGAATGATGAATAGCCTGTCACCGTGCAGCCTGCCTCCTTCTGAAAATGTTATTCCTCCCTGCAGCTGTTAAAATGAGTTGTAATAGCCAGACAACTGCTTTCCTTCTCCTCTTAGGTTTGAAATCATTTACAAATATTTTTTTGACATGTTTTCTGGTATTTTGCCTCAAAACAGCCAGAGTGTTACTGTTTCTTCTTGGAAACAGTCCAACAGGTCCATTAAAAAGAAATGCAGATTTGATTCCTTTTCTTGTTTGTTTTTTTGGAAGGAACACGGCGTTCTCTCCAATCTCTGAAATATTTGTGCTTGCCCCTCTGCTTTAAACAGGCTTCCTTTTGAGACACAAAGCTGTAGAGCCAAGCCCAGTTTTTGCAGAAGGCTCTCATGTGATGGTTGGACTCTAGGATCATAGTGGGTTTTTCCAACCTTAATGACTGCATGATGTTCTGTGATTTAAGCTGTAGGTAGTGGCTTAGCACACCCACTGCTATTTTATGCAGTGGGATGGTGCTGGGTCTGTAAGCCTGATGGTAAATGCCCATTTTTCTCCCTGCTCATCAGCAGTGGGACTTCCCAGCATGTTTCTCCTGGCTCTAAAAATGAATAGCAATTGGGGATCAATTTTCAGCAGCTTCTCCAATCTTTTTTCAGTTCTGAACTCAGAGGAGGTTTAGGTTAGATATTAGGAGGAAGTTTTTCACACGGAGGGTGGTGACACACTGGAACGGGTTGTCCAAAGAGGCTGTGGATGCCCCATCCCTGGAGGCGTTCAGGGCCAGGCTGGATGTGGCTCTGGGCAGCCTGGTCTACTGGTTGGCGACCTGCACATAGCAGGGGGTTGGAACTGGATGATCATTGTGGTCCTTTTCAACCCAGGCCATTCTATGATTCTTAGTGTCTGCTGCAGGTTCTGAGGGCTGCTTCAGCAGCTCAGTTTGGTGTTTGTAGCACAGACAGCGATCACAAGGTTTTTACCCAGCTCTTGTATTCTCCTCTCACCCGTGCTCTGGTGCCAGTGCGTTTCTCACTGTGCAGTGCCCAAAGCAAGTCTCCCAGGTGCCCAGCACAGCTTTGTGCTGCACAGCCCTGATGTGGGCTGGACACCCATAGGATGAGGAATTGTGAAGTGCAGGGAGATTTTTTTTTTTTTCCCAGGAATGATTTATTATCCAGAAGAAAGTGTTGCGATAAGCACTTTTTTCAGTCATCCTTTGTGTATCTGAGTGCTTCCAGTTTTATGACTTTAATTATTAACTAAGCCTGCTGTTTTGTCGGGGCAAGAAGAGAGACCTTCACTTTATTGGGTCAATTCACAGTGTTTATTTTTAAGCAGAAGAGAGCGGTTACTTGCTGGATGA